ATTTAATGGTGTATACCTATAAGCCTCAGTATACCCCACCAGGGCCCGAGTCACCCATTAGGACCCCAAATTAGACCCTTCAACTTCGAAATGTATACTCATTCACAAATCAAAGGCATTAAACGTCTTAGAGTTGTAACTTGAATTACAAGACTGTCCAGTTGGGGTAACAGTGAAGTGTTTCCAAATTTAGATTAATCAAATCTTACCAGATTAATTTTTAATGAAAAATTGCAGTAATTCTGATTGTAAATGAATTTCATTTACTGCATCATGTATTATTATTATTATTATTATTATTATTATCATCATCATCCAACTAAGATCCCATTAACGGCAAGGGCTTCCTGTCGTTTGAAGGAAATGATGAATGAAGTGATAGGGTGATGATGGGGGGTGAAAGGACTAGGATGTTGGTGGGAAGTGGCAGGTGAGGTGGTGGGAGGCGATCGTGGCAGTTTTGAACTATTCCAGTATTCGTCTTATGTCCAAGGGATACCACGAAAAATCCCCGCCAGGATGGCCGGTCCGGGGACCTCCCGACTGCGAAGTCAGCGCGCTACGAACTGAGCAACTTCACTCGGTCATCATGTATTCTCTGTTTTTATGAATTCTTATTGAATTCGGCATTCAACCTGTAGTAAATGAAATAAATGCAGAAATATCAATATACGTTCGTAAACATTACATTTATTATTACACATTTCTTCTGCTATAGTGATCCATTAATAACAACTTGATTATTTAATCAACTAGTGATGCTAGAACGACGCATATTCTCGCATTATTTCTAAATTTATAATTCAGATAGCACAACAAAAATGAGACCCGTGTACTTTCTTTAAACGTATCTTCTTCCATCATTGAAAAAAAGTAAAGAAAAAATTTGGAACAGTTTTTGAGAAAATGTTCTTTTTATAAATTGCTTTTATTTCAAACACAAATCGTTTCTTCAAAAACTTGTACATAACCTTTTTTAAAGAACTGATTTTTGACAACAGTATTGATCTAAGGTAAATATCTTTCATCAATTTTATACTTTTGAAATGTTAACTTTTTTCAATTAAAGAACCAGAAAGATAGACGAAAATGGGACGAGCATCATATTCTTACCGTCCTTTATTTCATATGAGAAGAAAATTTAAAGAAAACATTTGGAGCGGCTTTTGAGAAAAAAATGTTTAAAATAATTTTTAACTTGGCTACATTTCGCGCAAAATTACGCGAAACTATTCATATTTTCGAAAAATTTGAACATGAACTTATTTGAAGAGCTCTCTATAAGAAACATTTCATTAAAAAAAAACTATTTTACATATTATAGTTGTGGGAAGGCGACATCACAAAATTGCATTTTTGTAATTGTCAAAAAATCAGAAATTTTAACGTACACGCGACGTTCAGCATTCTGTTACGCGTCCTTTACGCTATCCGAAGACAAAGTTAAATAAAAAAATTGGTGACATTTTTGAGAAAATTTTGAAAAAGATATTGAGGCTTTATGTTAAGTTTCCTCAAAAATCTAAATATCTGTTTGAAACTTCGAAAGGTTTAAGCCCGTTCAAATCGATCGGGGAATATCCATTTTGGAGAAAAAAAAAAAGGCTACACGGTTTAGGCGGTAGCGTAGACCACGGACGGACGGATTTTTTGCCGTCTAGTCAGTTATTTGGCAAACGAGTTTTCGGAATTTTGTATACATAGGAACACGATTTATCCACTTTTTCGTTACCAGGGACCGACAATAAGTTTATCTGTTGAGTATTCGCCGTTTTCCGTCGCACGATTACAATACTTCCTCTTCTTAAATTTGTAAGGGGGAGAAAGTAATATTAATGTAATATGCCTAATTTTAACAGTAACCTATGTTAAAAGTGTCCTTAAGGTCTTTAAATTCAGCAGACTACGCGAGTACAAAACAATTATAAACACTTCAAATTATTTACATACATCAAATGAGCCGTTAACTCATGGGAATTGCCTTGACGTTTTCTTTCATTGTCTGGGATCTTCATCAAGAATTTCATAAACAAAATCAGATTTTACTCGTGTAAGTTTGTTAAATTTACTGGTCGTTAACCTAGGTTACATTTAAAATTTGAATGAAGTAGATTTTTTAGTTAGCGAGGTTTTCCTTTATTACGAAAATCGTTATAACGCACATTTATGACAATTTAAAAAAGATCTATTTCGTAAAATTTAAGGTAATTTAAAAGTAATCATATGGTAATATATGATTCTATATAATATATAATTTAACTATTTAATTAACAAAATTATTACTTCTATTATGATCAGTAACCCTGTTGAATTTATCAATAAAAATAAAAAGTTAATTACATTAAGAAGTCGTTTAGCCAATAAGTAATTTATTAAATAGTCAAATTACATCGTAATGAATGTCAAAATACAATCGTAATCAATGTTAAACTTCTCTGCATTTTCTTGCAATTAACGAAATATGAGTGACTCATCACATGCAAACATTGTAAACAAGCTTGGGAAAAAATTGCAGAATCATAGTTTTTTTTATTTGTTGTGTCTTTTTCACTATAAGTGCTTTACCCCGTTTGGACATTGAACGTTTATACATCTGGAATAATTCCATTTTTTTGTCTCGTAACGTCGCAGTCAATGTATTTTTTATCCCTTCGGCCAGGAGCTCTGTGTCGATAGTAACTCGGGTTGCCAGACGGTCATCCGTGTAGTAAGCCGTGGTGTCTCGAGTTACTGAACATCCGTGACTTCACGGAGCGTAGTGAAGCAATTCGGCTAACGACGCCGAGTCTTTAATTTCTTTGAATGTATCACTGATTTAATCAGAATTGGATGTATTTGCATAAAAATTATCCTTTCACACACACATTCGTCATTATCCAAGATAAAACAAATGTAAACAGACTGAGGAAAACCCCCAGATGCACACAAACAACAAAACATACGGAATCAGTTAGCTCACCAAATGCTCCTTCGCCCAACTCCTGAAGAAATTTCACATTCGCCAACTGGTACTCTCGAGCTCGAACTCCACTTGATACACGTTCTCCTTTCTTGTTACTACTGTCAGGTAACAACAAATGCATTTCCACGACTTGGGAACCTTTTGATGTACTTTTACTTGGCGACGAATGCTGAGTTTTCAGAACACATATCTAAAAAAGGGAATAATAGATTACAAAATTCCCAAAAGTAGAGCAGAAAAAAATAAAATACAAGGAACTCATAAAAACCTTATTTCCTGCACTGTTTAAAGGTTGACTTAAATGAACATTCGCATTCTTTCTTTGCCTGAAACAGCACCAATATATTCCAAAAGGACCCACCAAAAGAGTCGCAGATATTGCTGCAGCTACAGCGTAAACCCAAATGTTAAAATCTGAAAAGAGCAAAAAATCAAGAATTACTGTCTCTCCAACACACTAAGAAGCATGTCTAATCTGAGGAATAAAACAATTTTTATACCCAATACAAATTAAAGAAAATGATCTTTAACAGTAAATTACTAATAAGAATACAACTAAACATTAAGGCTGCAAAGTCGGTACAGTCAACAACCGACGGAGGGCGTGAATTCAGATCATGTACCAGGCATTGATGTTTTCATCATATGTTATTTCCCTTTTACATTGTATGCAATTATGGTGCCGCCGTAAAGTGGGGTCGGGTACATGGATACCTCAGCCACGTACAAGTACATACAGGCGTCTCAGAATAAATTTTGAAGGTACACAGAGAGGGGAGGGGAGAAAATGATCACCGAGTAAATGAACATAGACAGGGATTCGCATACACCGAAATTATTTACACTTATACATGTGGTAATTGTCCCTGATTTTTAGGCAACCCAAAGCATGATTTTCATTGTTGAGTAATGTTTGTGATGGCTCGAAGTTCATTCTCAAATAGAAAGCGTTTGTGTATGACGCATACGCAAAATGCAAATCTGCGAGAAAGTATCGGCAGAAATAATAGTTTCCGGGAACCATACCTCTATTTCGGAATGCGATTTAAAAGTTGGTAAAAAAATGAGGAGTCAAGATGTACCGGTGGACATAAAAGCACTGCGTAAGGGACACATCTTAATTGAAGAGAAATTGCGTGACATTCATACGCGACTAGAAATTTTTTCTCGCAAACCCTTGTCACGTCTTGCTCAAGAGTTCCTATTCCGAAACACAGTGCGAAGTCACACAAATTATGAAGATGAAGCTGAACAAAGGAACGGTTGCGCACCCCTTACTGCCTGTCGATCCGCCAGCATGAGTGCGCTTTGCATATTGCTTTTTGAAAAGTGTGCATGATAATCTTGACTAGTTTATAACTTTCTTTTTTGGCGAAGCTTGGTTTTATCTCAATGGCCAAGTTAAAATAACATATGTTAGTACAGAAAACCACCACATATTTCACCAACATCCGCTACACGACATTAACGACGGTGTGCGGTGCGCAATCAGTGCTAAAATAATTATTGGGAATTTATTTGGAACAGAAATGATCAACACAAACCGTTAGGTGTACATCATGTACTGCAGCCTTACTTCCAAATGTTGACAAATTAGCGTAATTACGATCATTTCCAACAGGACTCCGCAACCCCGCAGACTGCTTAAGTTTCCTTAAGGGCTTTACATGCCGTTTATGGAGACAGAATTATCACACGTGGTTTGTGGCCTGTACGCTCTCCTGATCTGACTCCGTGCGATTTCTTTCCGTGGGGATTCCTGAAAAATCGCGTATATGAGTCACTACAGGTAAATCGCACTCTCACGAAACTCCACTATGTTTAGCGACTTGAAACTCTTTGTGAGGTGTAGGATTGAAAATAGGAGACATATTTTTCCCTTTTTTAATTCCAGCCCTTTCAGAAACATCACCAATATTTTTTTCCGAAGAATCATGCACGCGCTAATATTTACAATTTTTTTAGCGCAAATGCCGTTCCCATCAGAAAAATTAAGTTACACTTAATATTAACTTAAACAGATTTTCATGTGATGTAAATATAATTTTTGTAAACATTTTATTTGATACGTATCTTAATTTTCAACATTCAAATTTTTACATTAGGTCGAGACCTAAGTTAACTATAACAAATATATATGTATTCCTACACTAATGAATGATGTATATATCTGCCAAATTTCGAAGTGGGACATACATAAATAATATTAAAAAATAGTTCGTTCACTGGACCACGTAAGCAGTCCGCTGTCCACTGGACACGTTGCTCGAACTACGCATTGACACTCAAACATAAAGCAACCGTGAGGCTTGTGTTACGAATCGCAGAAAGACACATATAGTCTAAAATGGAAGTCTTCTGACGATATGCGACTATTAAGTTTATTTATAAACAACTGACACTGCTAGGGTCTGCTTGAAACGGAGCAGCCTTCTTTCTCAGATACGAGTCAGTTGTGTAAAGAGAGGAATCGTGAAACATGTGCGTTGTTCTATGAAGTTAGAAACCACAGATAGCCTTACAATACTATTGTTACTTGCATTTTATTCATATGAAAATCCCTAATTACAGAAGTGTACGTTTACGTTGTTACAACCAATGTCGTCGAGAACTTGAAAATTGACTGTTTGAAGTAAAAAAAATGATGTATTGCAAAAACTGGTTTTGAAAATTCTTTCTCGTGACGAGTCACATTAAGTTTGTTTTAAAGAATGTGAGAATCGACCATGCTTGTTAATGTTACAAATTTGTTGGGCGGTGACAATGATGAATAAACGTGCAGTCCTGGTCACCCTAACGTATCACCAGATACGAATAATAAAGGAAATGAACGAGTCTTCTGTTTCTTCTTCTGTCTTCGTCCATTGTTTGCTGTCTTCTGCTCTCTTCATGAGACAAAAATAAAATTTGACGCCAGGAGTTTCCATTGGACTGTATGTTTTTTTTAGGGAATTATTCTTTCATACTTGAATATTCAATTTAGAGACTGCTGTGAATGTCTTAAAAGCTACTCTGCATTCGTTTGTGCTATAGTTCAGAGAAAGCAAGAATTTTAAAAATTTCAATGCAGCATATCGGATCCGACTCCGGTATTCAATGCAGCATAACACTGAATATAGAAATCAGTGAGGCTCAAATGGAGATCGTTAACAGTGATTGCGCGCGGCTAAATTTTAGCCGATTGTAGTTACATGTGTGGCGTCTTTACCGGGGCAAAAAATCACAGACGTGAACGGTTTGTAAATTATTGAGTATTTATTTGAAAAAAAGACTCCAACATTTGAATACTATGTACAATATTTACAATAAACAATACTGACCCGTTACTAGAAGAAATGTTCCCTGGTTACCACCACCGCTGGCCTGAAAATTAAATATATTCGGTGTGATGCACCAGTAGCCTACGTGAGCATACAAACGAGTATGCCGCACCTCCCGTCTCGACGTTGCACGCCGGCTTCAGTTCCTTGCCTCAGTAGCCTATGCATTAAAATGCAGCGCCGCGCACAGTCCACACGATTTCCTACCGACGCGCCCAAGAATCAGAAGAAGGAGTTTAGGTCTGGGGTCCGTTTGTATACCTTCTGGGCCGGCTGACGGAACTGCGCCATCTCGCTGCTTCCGCAAACGCGTTTCCGCCGCCGGCCTGTCTACGGGGTTCTCAAGTTTGCCATCCACGACACGGCAACCCTTCCCTTCCGCTCCCTAGATTTGCCATTGTTCAACCCGGCGTCTCTTCCCGCCCGCGCTGTCCATGAACATGAAATGCACGTGGCTGATTTTGGTACGTTTGTACAAGGCGACTGTTATGACGCCACACATGGTTAAATTGTTCGAATGAAGGTTCTTAAAGACGAGATTTCAAGTTTTAATCTCATTTAAATTAAAGGAATATTTGATAAATATTTACGAATCTACGGCTATTTGAAAAATGTCTACTTCTATGGTTTTAACGAAAAATTGGCCATATTCGGACTCGTGCAGCACATTGTTTGAGACAAATAAGAAATGTTTGTCATAAAATTGTTGCCAAGTAGCATGGACACCACCTCAGGCAAAAATTCGTTAATATATCAATAAATAATATTTATTCGTTATTTTCTAAAAAAAAGTAGCAGAAAATGCGCAAAAATGGGGTGTTAATGAGGAGTTCATGGGGTTCGTGGCACCCCTAAACTGATTTTTAAATCGGTTTTATTGGTGCCAATGTTGTTCTTGCACCAAAAACTAACGTTTTTTCGCTAAGCAATTCAATTCTATTTTTTTTTTCGATACAGCCTAATATATATTTATAGAGTGCGTGTGTCCGGAAGTTCCCGTTACAAGGAAACACCTCAGAATCTATATGGAATTTCACGAAGAATAGTAGATCCAGTTTTCAAAAAAAGGTTGTGAAAATTAAATGTTTCTTCCGGGCGCGAAATTTAGACTGGCTGGATTTGTGCAGGTTTTCGGAGAAATTTTTATGTGAGGAAAATGTGAATTACTACACACTACAGTTCAATGGTATCAAATGTTTTATGTGCACTATTCATTCAATGTATTAATCCACTTAAGGTACAATCACGGTGAAGTACCTCCCAAAAATACATTAAATGAAAGTAAAAGCTCTGTTTTTTACGATGGTAAGAAAACATGAAGGCTAACCGACCTATTTTTTTTAATAAAATAAGTTTAAATTAGTATAGGCTCCATGGGAAAACGTTCGCGGGAATAGGTGTTTAAGTTATTGAAGTTACACGGTGATGGTACCTTTTCAATACGTCGTGTGGTGTCATATCAGTCGCCTTGTACAAACGTACCAAATATAAGTCACTGCATTTCATGGACAGCGCTGGCGGAAAAGGCGCTGGGCTGAACAAAGGCTAGGGAGCGGAAGGGAAGGGGTGCCGTGTCGTGGGTGGCAAACTTGGGAACTTGGTTAGGCGGCGGAAACAGCGAGATGACGCAGTTCCGTCAGCCGGCCCAGAAGGTATATAAACGGACCCCGGATCTAAACTCCTTCTTCTGATTCTTGGGCGCATCGGTAGGAAGTCGTGTGGGTTGTGCGCGGCGCTGCATTTTAATGCATAGGCTACTGAGGCAGTGAACTGAAGCCGGCGTGCTACGTCGAGACGGGAGGTGCGGCATACTCGCTTGTATGCTCACGTAGGCTACTGGTGCATCACACCGAATATATTTAATTATTAGGCCAGCGGCGGTGGTAACCAGGGAACATTCCTTCTAGTAACGGGTCAATATTGTTTATTGTAATTATTGTGCATAGTATTCAGGTGTCGGAGCATTTTTTCAAATAAATACTTAATATTTACAAACCGTTCACGTCTGTGATTTATTGCCTCGCCACAGTAGTAAATTTTTGTGGAATCAAGATATTAAATGTAACATATCTCACCGGGCATCCTGAGGACTAATTGATGAAAAAATGCGAAATTCCTGACCAAAGAAGAAGTACTGGCGTTCGGCCAAATAGTTATGCTGCACAAATCATGCTATTATCAGCACTGATTCTGTTGGGGTCCGGAATGGAGCTAGGAATATATGTATTCAAAGCTCCATGGAGTACGAGTGGAAAGTGACCAAAATTAAAATTTTGTATAACCCGCAATCACAGACTCTGGCGATTATTCACTTTCGATATAACCAATGTGGACTAATATTCAACGCAGAAAGAAAGAAAGAAAGAAAAGTACGGGAGCCGAAGTCATCTTAATCTATATTAGGTAACGGCAACAAAAAAATCATGCAAGGGATTAAATTTAATAATAAACATTATTTTTCTAGAACAACTGTTCAATATCTTTTTTAAGGAATTTACAAATAATAATTTAAATACTTCGTTCACGATTCCAAAAGCTATTGTTAATGCAATAATTATGAGCAGTCATTGCCAACAATATTGTTAATCTATAGATGTAACAAACAGTTGAATATTTGTCTAGCGACTTGCCCGAACATACTACATTATACTTTGATTTTTTAACGTGGGGTCTGAAGATCATTCACGGAAAAGGGAGAGGGAACGGACAGGGATAGGTAGCCGTGAACGTGGGAGGTGTAATGACGTTGTAACTCGCTATTGGAGTCTGCCTTCCTCTCCCTTTTTCATGTGTGACCTTGAAAAAAAAAAACGAAGTATAAAACCTGTTTTTATTGTGACTTAAAACCACGGTAACAATGAATGCTGAACAAAATTCAAGCCTTATGGAAATTAACAAACCTCGAATTATTTTTAGCATATCTTCAGTGTGTAATAGTGTCTTGTGCTTTAGATATCCACAAAATGTTTTATTTGTAATTTTTTTATTTAAGTTTTCTTTTCGTAAATTAGACCAAAACTCAAAACAATACATGCAATAAACTTACAGGGTGCTTTGTAAACGGAGAACTGAAACTCGCAAGGTAAAGTGGCGTCACTTAAGTGGATATTTTGCTATATGATATACCCTTGTACTTTTTCTAAAAGTTTATTCAACATAGCTCTAAATAGTAACTGAAATTTTGCTCTCCTCTCTTCTTTGTGTAAGAATAGTATGGGAAGCAGAGGTAATGAGAGTCACTTTTTGTTTGTTTTTTCAATACCAATTGCTCATATGAACAAGAATGTGCCGTCAAATCTGACATTGGTTATTAAGTGCGAGTTCATTACAAAAAATTAATCAAAAATACATTAAAACCCTCTCAAATATCGAATTTTCAAACATATGCATTTGACCCCCAATTACCTCCACATGCGGGTAATGGGTGTCACAATGTGAGTACTGGGTGTCACTAAAGAAATATGAAACAAAATTAATACATTAGTACAAGAGTATTTATTTTGTTTACAATAATTGTAGGCATCTAATCTAAAGTGACTAATTGCTTCAACTTCAAGATCATTAACTCTATAAAACATATTTGCAAGCTTTTTTGTGTTCAGCAGTTTCATTCTGGTAATATTCCTTCATCCCATTCGAGATGGATCCTCATTTGCATCTCGTGTAGCATGCCAAATGGGATGCAATGGAAATGGCAGCACTGTGAACCTTGCACCTCCATTGATTGCTTTAATTGTTGTGCTCATGATCATTCTCCTTCATTAGTCGTTTGTTTGCGAATTCTGGGCCATCTCCTAGCAAGCAAATTCATTCAGATCAATAAATTATTTTGTTTGGAACCATGTCCACTACCATTGACCACCATTCCCCTACATTTTTACTATAACTGTTCATAAAAATTGATAGAATGTTTTAAAATTACTCGTAATTGGTATCAAATGATATGCCGAAGAACTTCCCTTCCAACAAATTGTAATTCTTGCATAATTCTCCAAGTTCATATGAGTATGACCTTATTTTCTAAGAGCACTTTCTAACATCAACCACACACTTTCCTGGTATGAACTGCCTTTCAACATGGTTTGTTTACAATATTTATTGATACTTTACTGCTGACCCCTATTACCCCTGCTTGCCCTACAACAGTGCCGGTCACGTGCTTCTGGATATTGATTTCACGTAATCATTTTTTTAATCAATTTTGTCACTTTTCACGTATTTATTACCAGTAAAAAGTAAACTTGTTTGTTTATCCAATTTAAAAACAACTTCTCAGTACAGATCTGGCATAGGTGCCGTGCCATGCTGTTGTGACACTGTGGCCGCCAGGCCATGGGCCACATACTTTTTCGCGTCACTATTGCACTTTCAGGGGAAACATTTCTCATACATATCATTTTTCGTTAAACATAACACTCAATCAATAAGAGGAAACAATTCTCAACAGTGACACTTACCACACTTAGGGATATCACAGAGTTCCTTTTTATTCTGAACAGTAAAACACCAAGGTTGATTTTCAGTATTTCCTGGATTTCTGCAAAAACTGTGGCCACCAACTAGTTCAGGGTGATCTGATGCCTTATGTATTAACTGCTGACTCCAAGGTGTACAAAGTAAACCAGTAGCAGTAACACTTACAGTGCCTCTGTATGTTTGTCCTTTATCTCTGTAGCAAGTGTGACCTATCATAAGAAAAAAGTATCAAAATTAGAACTTATCGTAGAGAAAAGGATGGTTATATTCCAATTAATAAACTTATTAAAGAGGTATTAAAATTAAATTTTTGTTAATGTCTTTGTAATTCCAATTCCATTATTACATGAAATCACAGATTGCAGAGACAGAATGAAAACCTGTATGCTGGATACTGAATACCGGATACCAAAATAATTAATCTATAAGTGAGAGCAGAATGAGTCTTTGTTATTGTTTATAATGTAAGCCTTCTAAATATTTTTTTTTCAAATAATATTTTAAAAAGTCAAACTTTGAATGTTAAGCATCTTATTTCGTACTTGTACTGCAACCAATAAATTCGTAGACTTTATGAATGTGTTGAGTATACTGAAATTATAAGATAAAAGGTTGAAATTTTGGGAAACAATAGAATTTACAGGGCTACAATTTGTCTTTAGCCCTTTTTATGATCTGTGTCAGATCATGATATATTCTTTAAAAAAAAGTTGTTTTTTTTCTTTTTATGTTCCCTTCTATTTTGTTGATTATTAAGCACAAACCCGGATATAAATGACCGACACAATTCTCAAAACATCTAGATCATCGATAGAAAATTGCAAGAATGATTAAAGTCAATATTCGTAGGCGTAATGTGGTGGAAAAAATTTAAACTGATATAAGAAAATTAAAAAACACATATTTTTCATTTATGCGAAGTACTCCAGGTAAAATGATTCATATCTAGCGAAAATTTGTTTCTAGTAAAATGATGATCATGTAAAATAAATCTTTACATTCTAATTTAAATGAATTTTAGTTCAAATAAGTTGCTAATTAAAAACAATTGGAAGCAGTTAAATTAGCTACTTGTACATTGACAAAACAATACTCAGATGTTAAATGACTTCTAATGTTTACTGAACTCAAATCTTCCTTTCTGACATAGCATTGGCACATTCGTCTTTCTTCCCAGGTGTAGATGTTCTGAAAATTGTTCCCTTATCATTTCTCCCCATTGTTTTCACATATTTAATTCTGTACAATGCCAACATGAAAAGCCTATTAATTAAAATTATTAAAATTTCATGAAAAGATGATTTCCTCATCATGTTTGCCCTGTGCTCTTCACTTATAGAAGATGAGACTGCTTAGTCATCTCTACTGGACATAAAAGTTTGTTTTACAATGATGATGAATTACATAATTCTTCATTACCTCGTCAAATACTTCTATGGGGTCTGATATTACACATCCTCATTATAAATATACTCACTTGAATCAACATTCTCTGGTCTTGGTATACCCAACTTCAAACAACCCTTGCTTTCCTTCGAACCAATTGGAGGTAGTTCATCACATTCATGTAACACCAGCTGTTTACCAATAAGTGGATGTCGCTTTGCAATAGCATACTCAGTTGAACACATTTCGTTTTCAAGAATTTCACAATCTTCTCGACAAATTTTACGAGGTCCTTGTTCTCCTTCCAAATCATCTTCATGGCACAAAGGAAATGCGGAATAGCAGAGTGAAGGTTTGGCGAAAGCCTCACAACTTGCTGATAAATCCCTAAAAAAATTAATAAGAAATTATATTTCCTTTCCTACTTTAACATTCAAAGTGAAACTGTATTAGCTGTTATGTGTCTTTATGATATAGAATCATGTACTAAATATTTATACACAACTCAAACAAACATGGTTTCCTAGAGATAGTCTCTATGTAATATAATAAATCAAATCTATGCAAGTTGTTTGTTCAGTTCCAATCGTGACATAAATCATTGTGAAAGTGATAATAAAAATACCTATATTTAACAAAACATCAACTTGACGCTGAATATTCAAGTTCATATTTCCTTGGGACAATGTGTGATACTTTGTTTTACAATACTAAAATACACACAAATTAGAACTGTTTTGTTCACAGTTTAAATAGAAACAAATACTACTATCCAAAACAGATAATTTCATTACGCAATTGAACTACCACGCATGCTTTTTAAAGAATGTTATGAGTTATAATGGTTTAAATTTGCCTTATAGTGTCAAGGTAAGAGTAAGATGGAAAAAATGCTCCCAAGTGAAATAAAGTTAAGTGTTTTCAACAATGATTCTGACACAAAATACATTTTTTTAAATGGCAACTTCCTGCTCCTAACACAACAATAAACATTTTTTAGGTTGAATGCCATTTGCTTCAAATACTTTTAAATAAAAATTATTCATGCTTAAATAACAAACTTCCTCTGTAATAAAAATGCTTGGAAAAATTTTATTTCATTTTTGAATTTGGATTGTTTTCTAAATTTTATTGCAGATTTATAACAACTTGGATCAGATGGCATCCTCCACGAAGAAATATATTTTATGATTTTGATGTAATCATATTAATTCATGTAAATGGCTTCTACCCAATCTCAAATGTTATTTTCAAGATGTTCTAGTTTATGATGCAGAGATCATTGAGGAAGATAATAGTCGACTGATTGATTACATTGGCCTGCAAAGATTTTGTGTTTGAAACCATATTATGTTTCATACATCAAATCAAATGCCCTAAATCAGAATTTTTGTACTCATATATCACATATAGATTTTGCATAATATATTTTTTAAATAAACATTTTCGACACATGTTGTGTTGGATTAGTGCAAATAGCAGAAGGTCAGTGAGAAATTGAACTCTCCATCGAAGATGATGATGACGATAATGATTAAGGTTTAAGGGCGCTTCAACAGCTAAGGTCACTGTCAAATTATTTTAAGAGCAACACGCACTGTAGCAGTGCCAGTCAAACTTTTTTTAATGCAAAGTAAAATGTGAGCCCGACAACTTGGGAATGGTAATTGAGGTCGCATGAACGGCATCAGAAAAATGGGCTACCATAGCATGGATATCATTTGGACAGTTTCCGGATATCAGATCCGTATTTTTCCCTAAGGTTTCCTACTCAGCTCGGTGGATTAGCCAGCGAGGAGGGTGGGCAACGTTTAGATCGGGAATATCGAAATGGACCCGTGAAGTGGTCACTGCCATGCAGGTTGTCAAGGACAGTCCACTCACAGACGGTAGAGAGGTATGAACTACAGATAGCCAGACCAAAGGACGAGAAAGTGTTTGAAGTCACGGAAATAGTGTGCATTCGTCAGTGTTCAGAAGAATAAGATTCTGGTTGTCAATATACTCAACATTACCTCTCGCGCAGGTCCTTGTGCCACTCCGGCGGGGTTGTGGGCATTTAAGTCCCCCACAATAAGAAAAGGTGCGGGCAACTGGGAAACAGAATCAAGTTGTTCTTGTAACACGGCTTGTCTAAGTAGAATGTATATATTGCATACCGTTGGTGAAAAGGATGGTAAGTTTATCTGAATGCATACGGTTTGAAGATCGGTTCGATCGTTATATTCCTCAGAGAACAGTGAGTCACGAATAAGTTCTGCGACACCACCGTGAGCAAGACGTCCGTCACATTGATCAAACAGGAACTGTGGCCGCACGAAGATTTAGAGATTATTTAATATTAAATTATAAGCAGTTCTTGCTACATTTATCTCACCATTACCTAACATTAGGAAACGCGAAGTTCTTTCTGTGGAGAGCGCCGTTCCGAGGGCACAGAGGAAAAGAGAATTCACTGCCATGCAGGTTTTGTCAAGGACATCACTCACAGACGGTAAGAGAGGTATGAACTACAGATAGCCAGACAATAGGACCGAGAAAGTTTGAAGTCCAACGGAACATGTGTGCATTCGTCAGTGTTCAGAAATACAGATTCCTGGTTGTCAATATACCAACATTACCTCTGCGCGCAGGTCTTGTGCCCTCGGCGGGGTGTGGGCATAAGTCCCCCAACAATAAGAAAGGTGCGGGCCACTGGGAAACAGAATCAAGTTGTTCTTGTAACACGGCTTGTCTAAGTAGAATGTATATATTGCATACCGTTGGTGAATAAGATGGTAAATTTATGCTGAAAATGCTACGGTTTGAAAGAATCGGTCGATCGTTATATTCCTCAGAGAACAGTGAGTCACGAATAAAGTTCTGCGACACACCGTGAGCAAGACTCCGTCACATTGATCAAACAGAACTGTGGCCGCACGGAAGATTTAGAGATTATTTAATATTAAATTATAGGCAGTTCTTCCTACATTTATCTTCACCATACCTAACATTAGGAAACGCGCAAGTTCTTTCTGTGGAGAGCGCCTTCCGAGGGCAGCTAACCCCCCCCCTCCGGCCGCCACGGGAA